GGACGAGCTATATTTGTAGCTAGGACGGGTAAGTTAAAAGAGGTTGTAAAGGGAGTTGAGCCGTGGACAGATATACCAGTCGTGCGGTCGGAAACATCGGCAGTCCACGAGCAGATGGAACTCGGCTAGGAAGTCTGATTCGGGGATTGATTGGGTAACATTGGCAATCACGAGGACCCAGGACAATGAACGACGAAGATCAGTGCCCAAAATGGGAATGGGAATGGGAACCATCAGCACATTAACCTGCGACGTAGACTGGGCTACCAATCCCTTGACTGTCCGGGTGGGTGCCCTTACTATCAGCTTGTCACCTTTTCTGAACAAAACCCGTGTCCGACACGCAACCGGATTCGCGCGTTTTTCCAAATATGCCATATTTGTGTTTTTGAGGACAAGTCTGGAAAAGCTGAAGCCAGCGTACTTGAACAGGCGAGACCGGTGAACACCGTTGCTAGCGTAAACACATCAGATAATCACCGAGGCAGCATGGGCCCGTAGTTCTGTAATTAGAAACTCCAGTCCTGTTTCGCTTTGAAGTTGTTTATTTCTGTTCTAGTGTCGGGCCTTTCTGGCCAGTACTTTGGACACAAATGGCAGGAGGTCACAAGGTTGCTGTTTTATTTTCCCGCTTTCGTCGGTAAAGGCTTCCGTCCACACGGATCCTCCGGCCCAAACCACAAAGATTCTGGCTATACTCAGGTGATGCAAGAGCACGCAGGGCAAGTACAGAACGCTGATGCATCGACCAAATATTCAAATTTCAGCTTTTCCTAGAATTCTGTCATTGGTTTGGCACAGCCGATGATCGTCTGTTCTGCAGACTTAAATGCAACATTTGATCCAATTTATTGCGAAAAACTGAGACGCATAACAGGCCTATGTCGATCACCGGCAAATGCTGCAGTGATATAAGTATGTCATCACTCCAAATGTGCTTGCGTACTTGCCTGAAACCACTTCTTTCACCAATCCGACTGACTTTGAAAAGGGATGCATCTTCTCTATCATCCTATTTAAGCCTGCAATTTGCTGAATTCTGGAAGGTCCACGAAGATCCGACGTTACCTAACTTGCACCTGGATAACTTTTAACAAATTTTGACTCTACTGGCGACAGCGGCCCACTAGCATCAAGCTAAGAAACTCTACGGAACGTAGTCTCCGTTCAACGAGGTCACTAAATTGGCTGGGCTGGCCCTTGTGTTAACGTTGTCGAACCAGTACAGTCTCCAGTCGTCTTTCTGGCCAGAAGAAGACACATCCCCTAACCAAAAGTTGTCGTCTTGAAGAAGTGGGCAGTCACAGATTTATCGGGGCGATGTCGTCGCAAGATTTTGCAAGTACCTTCGGTCTCTCGTGGTGTTTTGAATACTATGAGAACTTAGACAGACGCGGTATCCATGCGGTCTTTCTCTCTCCACCTCTGTACATTTTAAGATTCGTTTGTATAAAACGAAGGAGAACTGGAGATTTTGTCCTCAGTCTCTAACCAATGATCCTTCAGGTGAAATTTACGGACTTCGCCATATATTAGACTACCCGTGTCCGTGACGACACCATCACAACTCTGTCTTAGATCAATCTGGCATGCTGGCTGTCACCCAGCTCATGAGGTCTGTGCAACTATTTCGATAGCGGAAACAGCGGCCATCTTAAACCCCTTTCCCTAAACGTACCGTCAAGATGTCCAAATGATTCGTGTTAACTGGATCCTCTGCCACTGATCACGGCCCTTGAAACGACCAGACACGAGGGAACCACGACGCCGGTTCGTTCAGGCCTTATCACGGCCGTCTACAGTGCTCAATGGCCGTCCACCTCAAGCCGGTCCACTAGACGTATCACAATCTCATTCCAGAAAAATAAATGGACGCCAACGGAAGGAGGAGGGGTTTTCAGAAGAGAAGAAATGAGATGCAGTTGGAGCCAGCGGTCAGCCGTGGCTACGTTCAGGAGGCGCGACGGAGCAAGTGTTCACGCCCAGTTTGGATTTGGTTGGCCAGCGTAGACAACTGTGATTGGCGGCAACGGAGTGTTGCGTCAATGAGAGCCTCGCAATATGGGGTGACTGAGATGCAAGCGGTGCGACGGTAAAAGCGGGAGCCCGACTCGGGCTGGAAACATGACGACGACCTCCAAAGGGCAGAGCTACTACTGATCCGCTGCCATGTGACGGGCAGCCACCATAACCGGTCTGGTGTCATTGTTCAAGACCTCGATGCCTCAAGGTCATTCACCCCTTGCAGCGAGCGGTTGCAGACGCGCTGACCTGAAGCCACTCGATCGACTTCGGCTCGAACACAATTGCGTCCACACAGTGTCGCAGATACCCATGCGCCACTTTAACGCGCCACCCCTGCAACTAGCAAAACAAGCCACTGGGACACTACCCCTCGGCAAATGCAACGCACACTGACTGGACACCAGTTGAGCGTGGCCCACGAGCCTACAAAAGCGGCCGCCACCACTATCTCAAAGACTCTCAGGCATGACTGGGCGCAGTCAACACCCAGTGACCACTGCCGCCTGAGAAGACAACTCTGGATTTTGTATACATTAAACCCCTCCTTCTGTTTCCTTCCGTCTTCTCCTAACTATAGTGGCGCTCAGACCACCCACTCACACCGCTTGGTCACGACAACCACGCGACAGTTGTTAGCGTTTGCGCGGAGGGGACCGTCATTTGATATACGGAAGACAGGCGACTGTTAATCATTATTGTCTTTCCGTACGCTTCACAAATTCCCGCCGCTAGCATGTCACCTATCCGAAGTTGGTCTTCCGACTTGTCGATCTCAGGACAGTGCCCGGGTGTTCGAACATGCGCGGTTGAGCCATGCAGTCCAGAAGGAGATGTTCGTGCTGACAGAACAGCAGCTGACTCCACCGACTCCCAATAAAATTCTTGGAGGCCTAATGGGCTCTGTGCTACCAAAGGTTAATCGGTATTTGTGTTCTGTGCAACCTCAGACAGCCCTTTTACAGTTCTTTCTGGTCGGATAACACGAATAATTTCTTTTTTCTACCCTGAATCCGATTTCTCTATGCTATGTTATATTTCAGTCGCATGCCAACAATGACTTGCAGTGAGGACAGGTAACTCTGTGGGGGTTAGCCAGAATCTTAACTATTCCAAAGACATATAAGCCGGCAAAGGCGACGGGACGGAGATGTTCACTTTTAGACAGCCTGACACACTCATGCTAGGTCGTAACATTGTGCAATTTTGACCGGAGAAGGAAGCTCGGAATCGGCGCGATTTGCAACGCTTTGGCCCTGGGGGCCATGGTGTAACGCTTCAAGTGATGAGGAACATTCCGGCCTTCCGCATGCCTCACTTGGAATCAGGCCATTTACTTGAGCCCCACTTCCTGGACTATTCGGATATTTCACCCATAAACATCAATGCCAGCTAGTTCGGCCGACAGCCATGAGATTCTCGAGTCGCATATAAAAGGTTCGCGGTGATTTCACTAACTGGCCTCTGTAACCACTTTAGAGAGAATCCTGTGCAGTTTTTATCCGCCTCTAAGCGCGGGTGGCGACTTGACTTGGTGTAGCGGCCGAGGACGTCAAGGGTAGCACACACCGGAGTAAGGGAACGCCGAGAAGAGCTCTTGGCCGGGGTAGACCTGAACAGAGCTGTTAGCATTCCTTGATACACATCCAGACACAGAAGAAGAAGAAGGCATGTCGAATAAGAGATATAGTGTAATATGACGAGGTTGCACGGGGAAACGTATAATAATCGTTAATAGTACAGGTAGGATGGTTACATCTGTAGAATGACCTGTCTGGGTGGAGAGACGATGCCAACATGCCAGCTAGTAAACCGTTGGGGAGCGCAGCGCTGGGGGCAACTGCAGGGAAGGGCCGAGGGAGTGCCTATGTAGCGAGGAGGCGAGCGGTTCGGACGATACGTTACGTTACGGTACGACGAGAGGGGAAAGGGATCGGCAGAAGAGAGAGGGACACCGGTTATCTTCACCGACACGCGACTACGTCATCTCCACCCTAGGTCCTCGCGCGGAAAAGTGTCACCTCATTCAAACCACTCTGCCCAAGTCCAGGGGCGTTACATTGGTCCGTCAGCGTCATTCATTGGTGCAGTATCCAGTGGCGCTGGTTCGACCAATCAGCTGATTACGGACCCCCTCCCCCCTGTCTGAACCCGACAATCACACATCAGGTGGTGCGCACGTTCAGACGGAGGCAGATGTGGTCTTGAACACGGTGGACAACGGTCCACGATAAGCGTGTCTTCAGTAACGCTACAGCGCCTGACTTTGATTTCAGTGGCGAGTCCGTATTATTCCTCCTTGCCGCCGTTCATGCCCCTATCTACCCGCCAGCTGTCTCGCACCCGTAGTCTTCGTTTACCGTCCACATACGGTAAGTGTGCTAACTTATGAAATATCAATTGAGATTCTGAAATGCGTTTTCGTTTCGAAAAGATTGCATAAGTAGGGTTTTAAAATTAACCATCACGCAGCATTATTATATAATAATTTAGCTACCGCAAGATGCCGGCTTTTAAGCGAACTTTTTCTGGGCTGCATGCAGAAACCACACTCTGCAAAAAATGACTGCTTAAGTAGCATGCACTTTTCTCACTGATTTTCGATGCCCTCAAAAATTCAATTATATTTCATGGAAAACATGCATAAAAGTCTGCATTATTTTACTTTTTCAATAGAAAATAACGTCTACTTTCAATCTTACACTCAAAGTAAGGGTATAATTCGGTTTTAAAAGGTTTCTAGTTATGAGAACTTTTAATACCGTGAAATGTCCGTTCATAAAACATCGTATCTCTGCATCTACTAGTGTTGCTTGTAAAGTTCACAATATGGCTCAAATCCACGGCCAAATTTTATGAGCTCCATAACTTCTACTTTTAGTATCGTAGATAAATTTATGATTTTCCGTACGCGAAACTACACGGCTCGTAGTTTGGAAACCCCGAATGCAGGTATAATGGCAAGTCTGGTTTAAAATTATTCGGGAATTGGAAATGATTTTGCAAACGGAACTGTACCCTTTCTTCAAGTATAAAACTGGAAGTAGACGTTATTTTCTACCGAAAGGGTAAAATAATGAATATTTTTATTTATGTTTTCCATGAAATATAATTGGATTTTTAAGGGCATCGAAAATCAGTGAGAAAAGTGCATGCTACTTAAGCAGTCATTTTTTGCAGAGTGTGGTTTCTGCATGCGGCCAGGAAGAGGTTCTTCCAAAAGCCGGCATCTCACGGTAGCTGAATTATTATATAATTATGCAGCATAATGGTTAGTTTTAGAACCCTACTTAAGTAGTCTTTTCGGAACGAAAACGCATTTCAGAAAGTCAGTTAACATTTCATGAGTCAGCACATCTACTGCATGTTTGCACTTGCACGTGCGTACCTGTGCCCCAAAGTTGTCAGCTTCATACACCTTTAACTGGAGTTCCCAGTGATGTATTAGGACGTCCATGCAACCACAGGTGTCGACTGCCAGACAATTTATTGCACATGGCCACATGAACCTGGATCCCACAGACACGCCCAGGTAGGCCTTGTCTTTGTTAAGACTGACGAAGGCAGCACTCACCGCTACCTGTGGCTCCCTGCTACTGCAGTCATTTTTCTTCTACTGTTGAAGATCCCAGTTGTAGCGATTAAAATACATGCGGCCAATGCTGATTGTAGGAAGGAAGTGGGTATTTCCACGTTTCCTTTCAGGTTCGGCTCAAGAGCCAACGCCGGTGGTCGCACAACGGCTTGCAACCAATAACTGGAAAGTACTGCCGCCAAGGATCAAAGGCAGTGGAGTGACTGCTTCTGGTTTACTTGCCGTCATCTTGTGCCTCTCTTCGCCGTTGGTAATAATTTGGAACTTCCAATTGCTAGCCACTGTGCGAGCACCCGTGTTGGCCCGAGTCATGAACATCCAAGGCACAATGGAAGTGCTCATTCCCGCCCCTCAATAAGGATGTATCGGTGAATGACACTCTTTTTGCCGACAGCCACCATGTCCATTTCTGGCGTCCTTGTTCAAGGCCCCTCTGCGTCAAGGTCATTCGCCTTCGCAGCGGGCGGTTGCAGACGCGCTGAGCCGCAGCCACTCGGACGCACGTGCGCCCATAGAGCCGTAGCTGCCTATGTGCCAATTGAACACACCACCCCCTGCGAATACAACATAAGCCATTTGAACGCCAGCCCTCAGCAAACGCAACACACACACCAATTGGACACCACTTGAGCTTACCACACGAGCCTACAAAAGCAGCTACCACTGTAACGCCCCTTGGCGCGAGGACCTAGGGTGGAGATGGCGTAGTCGCGTGTCGGTGAAGTGGCCGGTGTCCTTTCCTCTCTCTTCCGCCGATCCCTTCCCCCTCGCTGTACCGTAACGTAACGTCCGTATCGCTCGTCTCCTCGCTATATCGGCAACCCCTTCGGCCCCTCCCTGCAGTTGCCTCCAGCGCTGCACTCCCCACCGGTTTACTAGCTGGCATGTTGGCATCGCCTCTCCACCCAGACAGGTTATTCTACAGATGTAACCCATCCTTCCTGTAACATTAACGAATATTATACGCTTTTCCCATGTGACCTCGTCCATTACACTATATTCCTACTCTACATGCCTTCTTCTCTTGTGTAGGGATGCGTATCGAGAGATGTCAACGGTTCTGTTCAGATCTACCTCCGCCAGGACCTCTTCTCAGCGTTTCCTTTCCTTGACGTCCTTAGCCGCTACACCACCACTGTTTTAAGACTTTCGGGCATGACTGGTCGCAGTCAATACTAGCCCTGGCTTCTCCAGCGGCTACTGCCGCCTGAGAGGACAGCAAAGGGTTCTGTATACAGTAAACCCCTCATTCTGGTGGCTTTTGTCTCTTCCTTTGAGTCGGGATTTCGCCTGATGATTGTATCGTTTTGAGTACGCGCTCACTGACAGAAGTGTAAACAGGCAATCCAAGGCTTATCGTTTTAGATATTTTGTCAGAACACTCATGTTCTTCCAGCAAAAAGTGCAAGTCTTTAACGTGTATGTAATTTGTTAAATATACCTTTTTTACCATAAAGGCGGATGTCGTAGAATACTAAATGAGACAAAATGTTTGGCTGCTGTGTTATGGTAAACGCCTCTAGCTCTGAAATGCGGGCTTTAAAAAACTAGCACGTCTCCTTTTCCTCCGAACTTCTATATAACGGTAGCTGCGCGTGAAACCATCAAAACTGCATTCCCATCGCCTCCGAAAACACAACAAACCTTGAAAATATAGATACTGGAATTTCAAACGCGACAATATCGGAATCTTAACGACAAACATTCTCCGCTCCAAAAAATTTTGTATGTCTGTCCCCGACCAAGGTACGTTGGTTAAGACCATCACTTAATGAAACTCCGCCGCCGATTATATTCGAGATCCAAACTGGGATCTTTCCTTAGCGACAAAACATGGACTCCTTAAATAGAAGTTCCCGAGTGTGATTCGAAAATACAGCCTCGGTACGATTAGCAGGCGTGCTAAAAGGTCATTGCCTCAGGTACTGTTTTTTTTCATCTGGCAGCACGCTTCATAGCTCAAAAGGCAGTTCCGAATCTACACTGGAGGGGCAGACACATAAACGGATGGAAAGCCCTGCTCTGGGGTTATAGGGGTAGTAAAATTGCCTCTAATTAAATGACCCGTACTGACAGGACTGGAGGTCGAAACCCGGAATACTCGGTCTGGTGACTTGCCAAAGTGTTTGCCACTCACACACACTAGCCTTCCTTTTGGTTTTTTTGGATGTATTTAACCTATGGACGATCCCTCCTTGTACATCGCAGATATTATAATTCTGCCGGAGAGATCCACAAGGTCAGGCCGAATCAACTTACGTGTGTTATGGGGCACCCCGCAAAAATTTCCCCCAAATCTGAAGCGACACTTGGAGGTTGATGCCATTTAGACTTCATACTTGGGAACAAAAACTTGTACGCTGTTCCTTGTTCTCATTACGCATGATTTGTATTGGTACCGGTGCTTCATCTGAATACGATAGGTTATGAGCACATAGTTTATAGCCGCGTGCGGCCACAGAGATTGTGCCCTCTTTGTACACGCAACGCAGAAATTGGATGATGGCAACCTTTGTAAGCCGCGTCCAGCGCGACTTCTCCGAAAACGAGGACAGAGTCGTTGCCTCTCAAATGTAGTTTTCATTAAGTGCGCGTCTCGTGAATACTTTGGAGTTCTTACCGACCAGTAAGTTAGAATGAGCTGCATCAAAAATACAGTTTTTGATGCAGCTCATTCTAACTTAAGACATTCACAAGAGGACTGGTTTTGACATGTTTCCCAATTCCTTGTCTTGTTAAAAACCCGAGAGTCCAGTCCATAAAGGTTTGCTGTTTCAAGCTTCAGAGGGCTGTGAAATCGGAGGTCTTGGCAGTTCAACCATAAATTTAGACAGTGTCTACCGCGTGCTCCACAATAGAATGCAAGAATGAACGATGACTTGCGCGTGAATTAGTTTATAGTCATAGCAGAATTGCGCTGCATCTACCACACCCCCT